AAGATCATAGAGTGCGGTCAGGGGTTGAATGTTGTTTATCCAAGTGATATCCTACCAAATGGCTCGATGAGTAGTGTACCGACCACGTGAACAGGCTTGGCACTAAGAAAGATCAGGTGTTTTGTATGTTGACCCCTAACAAATGTCTAGACTTGACATGCATGAGAAAAGAATCTTAAACCAACCCCACAATTTGTGTTGATAGTCATGTTCGAGAAGATAACTGGCGTTTGAGAAGATCAAGAATTTTGAACAAACTCCAACAAAGAAAAAGATTGCTACAGATGTGATGTCTCTCGATCAATCTTTAATATGTTTCTCGAACATTATTTGAGTCATAATAATTACATTTAGTCGTATCTATTATGTGAGGGTAAGTTATTGTTTTTTAGTCGTATCTATTATGTGAGGGTGAGTTATTGTTTTTTTAGACGACTTTATCGATTATATTTCAATGCATTTCAATGTTGAGGGTATATAAGTCAAGTAAGATGTAAGCGATGAGAGATGGGACAGGCAACAAGATAGAGATGAAAAAGGATTGAATATGTGAGAATGAATCTTTCCTCTTGACTTTGAAACACTTGATTTTGAACTACCTTATCTAGTAATCAACATTCCCTTTCCCTACCTCTTGTCATTGCCATTTTATTGATTGACCGATAAGATTGGTATGGAGCCACACAGGAGAAAGTCGCACTTGGTAGCTCATAAGTTTCTAGCTAAATGTCTTTTTTTCTTTCTTTCAAGTACATGAATTCACCTTCCTTCCCACTAATCTTTTGCTGGACTTGTAGATTACTCTGGGCTAATGTTAAATTCTCTTCTAAGATCTTCTCACAAGGCAGTAAGAGGAGGAAAAGTTAGGGGATTTTCTGGATATTGTATACTTTTGTAGGCCTCTCATCGGAACGTGTTTGGTTTTGGTTAGAGCGACCAGTTTTCTCCATTCGATATCTTTTTCTTTTCGATGTGCAGGCTATTTTGGTCATGTTTCATGAAAGGCATTTACTATTTGGGTTTGAAAGTTTGAACAACTAGAGTATGCTCATCATCAGAGATACAACTAATTATGTAAAAGACTAAAATGTCTTAGTCCTATTTATCACGAGCTTAGATTCTTCCATTCCCTCACTCTTTCATCTTGAGATTTAAGATCATACAAAACAGCTTCGTTAAAGGCAAGATCTAGAGAAGTAAAAAACTCAGTATATAGTGATGGGCACCAGAACATTGGCATAAAGATCTTCCTTCAACTACCATATTTTATGTTCGAACGGATTGTCCCCCAGTCGGGCAAAGAAAAAATGAATGGGAATAAAGGAATTAGCTGGAGTTATTTCATGTACACAACAGCAGCCTAATCAACAAACATGTAATCAGTTGAAAATTATGCAACTCAAAAAAAGCAATATCATCTTGTACAGATTCACAGGCTTCCAGTTCTAAGACAAAGTAAAAAGCTCAAAGAACATATTGCATCAGATAAATGTGGAATTTTTCTTTTCATACCAGAAAGTACTTTGTTGTCTTGTTGATGAACTTTCAGCAATGTTTGTTGTTGCTCTAGCAAGTCATCTGAAACTATCACAATGGTAATTCATTTAGGTCATACTGCATAACAAGTCTTTCCACTGTGCTTTGACTTATAACATCCTTGAGTTGCAACTCCCTCAGGACTTTGGTTGCTAGATCTATCTGTTTCTCGTGGACGATCCCTTCCACGAGAGTGGTATATGTTGTTTCATTGGGCAGGTAACCTTTATCAACCATTGTTACATAAACCTCTAAGGCCAAATCGGATCTTCGAGATTTGCAACAACCAAAAATGAGAGAATTGTAATTTTCAGTATCAGGCTTATAGTTATTTTCCTCCATTACACTGAATATTTCAATTGCCTCATCAAGCATGCCCTCCATGCATAACCCCCGGATCAAAGACGAATAGGCAAAAGAATTGGGAGTAAACCCGTACTTCGTCATTTCATAGAGAAGTTGGAATGCTGAATATGTGTTTCCCTTTCGACACAAGCTCGTAATAACAGATTTATAGAATTCTTGAGTAGAATAATGTTGCTTGTTGCCCAAACTTTGGATGATGGAGAATGCCTCTTGAACCATTCCCACTTCACAAAGTGTAGCAATGGCATTGTAAGTTCCTTCATTGGGATTACAATGCCTATAGATCATTTGGTCCAAACATTTCACAACAAGATCTACTTTCTTATCTCTACAAAGACGAGCAATTATCGGGTTGTAGCTTGAAGCCGTGGGCTTGAACCGTGCTCTAATCATCTCTTCCAAAACCTCAAGGGCATGTTCTGTTCGGCCATGAAAGGCAAGCGAACCAATCAATGTATTGTAAGTGACAGCCGAAGGGGCACGATCATCACCGTCCATTTCAGCTAGAAGCACATTTGCCTCCTCCCATCTCCCTTCATAGCATAGACTCCTTAGCAAGATATTATAACTGACAACATTTGGATTGAATCCCTTTGAAGGCAATTCTCTAAATAACTGGATGGCATCATCTGTCCTACCTTCTTTACACAACCCAGTTAATAAAACATTGTAGCTAACCAAATTAGGCTTCCCACCCTTGGCAATGATCTCATCCAAAAGCTTAACAGCTTCATCCGCTCCCCGTTCCTTGTATGCAGCTTCAAGCAAAAAAGAGTATGTGTATGCATTTGGGACAAGCCCCTTCTGGATTAATCTGTCTAAAAGTTGCAAGCTGTGAGTCAAATTCCCATGCATACAAAGACCTCTCACAAGAGAATTATAAGTAACAGTGTTCGTAGGATAACCATATTCCTCCATTCTGTCCACTAATTGCATTGCATAACCAACATTCCCTCTTTTACACAAAGAACTTACCAAAAAGGTATAAGAAGAAGCATCTGGAATGATTCCAGAGCCAATCATCATCTCCATTACCTTAATAGCTCTTCTAAGCTTACTGGCCTTGCAAAGATCATACAAAAGCTGAGTCGCTTGAAACACATCGGGCTTTTGGCCCTTCCCTACCAAATACTCTAAATTCAAAAAAGCATCATTAAGTCTATGTTCTCTATTCTTTTGATCGCCCTTCCCAATCCTCCAGTTTGGCAGTGTGAAAATGGTATCCTTAGGAGAAATGGTAACCTGTGTCGATGCTAAAACTTTAGAAAATCCCTTGCTAAGTGAAAGCTTGTGGAGATTTGGGATATGGGAGAAGAATCCATATCCTCTTCTTGTGGTTTCTGGAGATGGATTTGTAATTGGAGACACTGTATTCAGCAGAGTCGCCATTGAAACTCAGTAAAACTAAAACCCTACTTCTTCACAGTAATCGCTCCCAAAAATCCTGTTTCTTTCTTAGCATTTAAATCCAGAATCAAAACTCTGAAATCAAATTAATCAATAACGTATTCTAAGATCTAGTATCTCTTCTTCAATCGTCTAAAATCTTGGTAGAATTCAGGATTTTTCAGAACGAACAAAAATGAAAGGATAAGCAGAGATTGCAAGTACGAAATTCAATCAATCCTCTTCGTTTTCGAAGTGAAATTTGGTAGAGAAAAGAATTATGAACATACACTGGAATTAGAAATCAATCACAGGCAATTCTTCTCTTCGTCTCCAAAACGCATTGAATCTTGGAGAGCTGAAATTCCACTATTTAGTTAGGTATCCAAAATGGATTATCCCTTTTTCTTTTACGCAGGTTTTCCTGGCTCCTCTCTAGACCAGTCCCCTCCACACCTCGTTATTGAAGGCTTTGAATGTCTCTAAATCCCACGCGTGCTTTCTTGCGTGATGAACACGCGCTTCTTTCTTTAAGCTCCAATTTTCCCTCTCACTTCATATTGGTCAAGAAAATAATGTAAAAATGTTAAATAATTATTATGTTTCATTTTTTAATAATTATACAATAAATGTATAATTCCATAAAAATCAACATATTTAAACAAAAATGATGCTATGTTGTTGTATAAAATTGTGCTTCCCTACCCTTGATCTTCGTTTTAAAACCTAATTAAATATGGTGGGTTATAAAGTAAAAACAGCGAGGAGAACAAAACACCAAGGATATGAAAACCTTCCCAGACGCGTTTTAAAGTCTTGAGGGAAAGCCTGAAAGGGAAACCCCAAATAAGACAATATCTACTAGGGGTGGATCTAGGTCGTTACAAATAGTATTAGAGTCAGACACTAGACTATGTTCCAGCGAAGAGGCTGTTCCCCAAAGGGGTAGACACGAGGCGATGTGCTAGTAAGGACGCTGGGCCCTGAAGGAGGGTGGATTTGGTGGCAGTCTTACATCGATTGAAGAAAGGAAGGAGTGCTAGCGAAGTCAATAGGCCTGAAGGGAGTGAATTGTGATGTCCCACATTGGTTGAAAATGAGAACAAATGTAACGACTCAGATCCACCGCTAGCCGATATTGTCCTCTTTGGGCTTTCCCTTTCGGGCTTCCCCTCAAGGGTTTAAAACATGTCTACTAGGGGAAGATTTTCACACCCTTACAAATGGTATTAGAGTCAGTCACTAGACGATGTGCCGACCTTTTCGTTGTTCCCCAAAGGGGGGTAGACACGAGGCGGTGTGCCAGTAAGGACGTTGGGCCCCAAAGGGGTGGATTTGGGAGTGGTCCCACATCGATTGGAGGAAGGAAAGAGTGCCAGCGAGGACGCTGGGCCTCGAACGGAGGTGGATTGTGATGTCCCACATTGGTTGGGGAGGAGAACAAACTACCATTTATAAGGGTGTGGAAACCTTCCCCTAGTAGATGCGTTTTATAGCCTTGAGGAGAAGCCCGAAAGGGAAAGCCCAAAGAGGACAATATATGCTAGCGGTGGATCTGGGTCGTTACAACAAAACACCCTTTATAGGGTATGGAAACCTTCCTTTAATAGCAAATGCGTTTTAAAACCATAAATGTTCTTTTTTTTTTTTTTAAGATAAAACTAGAATTTCTAGAGCGGAATTGAAGAAATGATAATCACGAAAAAGAAAAAGAAATTAAATATAGTTCAATTAAGAAAGACGTTATGATTAGATTAATGGTTTGAATAACAGATCTCGCAATTTTGTTGATTGAGCTCGCAAATATGATATTTGCAATCAAATTTTATCATGGATTAGAGATTAGAAATTTGAATTTCAGAAAAGATTTGAGAAAGACACGAAGCGGACGAGTCATCGGAAAGAAACTTACCTGTCGGTCTCTCAGCGGCCGCTCTGATGCGTGTCACCATTTCAACTTCGCCTTATATGCAATTCGAAAACCGAATCGGAAGCACAAGATTGAGGGAGAGTTGAGTGCAATAACAATGGCGAAGAGCAAGGATGATATCACGTACGGCGCCGCTCAAGCGAAGTTATCAGAAGACGAAGCTCTAAGAGTCGCTTACAAGCACGGCACGCCGCTCGAATCGGGGAAAATTGCGGACGCAGAGACTGTCGATCTCTTTTCTAGTGCGCAAAACATTTATCAAGATCGTTCTGCCGGACGTTCATCTGCCGCCGCTACTGAATCGATTACCAATCAGTTGCGGCGAGGCGATACTAATAGCGAAGGCGGAACAGGATGCGATACTGCAGATCCTTCCGCCGGCCATCGTTTAGGTTGAATCGGATCGGTGCGATTGTCGATAGATGCTTCTGTAGTTTGAAATTTTGTTTTCTTTTTGCTTCCTCAAATTTTGGTGCGCGTTTGAGAGTTTTGCATTTGGGTTGTGTGATCTGATCTCGTTTGCGAACCGAGTTGTGGAAATAGTCTCTAATACAAAATCACAGCTACTTTTACTGTCTCTCTCAAATATCTGGAATTTCATAATCCATTCACACTTTCAAGGTGAGCTACTTTTTGAATCCAACTACTCTTGCAATCAGGCTCGAGTCGAACCACTCTTGCCATAGTTTCAGGCTCAGGCTCGAGTCGAATTGCCATAGTTTCAGGTTCAGGCTCGAGTCGAACCACTCTTGCCATAGTTTCAGGTTCAGGCTCGAGTCGAACCACTCTTGCCATAGTTTCAGGTTCAGGCTCGAGTCGAACCACTCTTGCCATAGTTTCAGGCCAAGGCTCAAGTCGAACCACTCCAAGGCTCGAGTCGAACCACTCGCGCAATAATTTCACGCTCGAGTCGAACCACTCGCGCAATAATTTCACGCTCGAGTCGAACGATTCGAGCCTGAAACAGTTTCAGGCTCAGGCTCGAGTCGAACCACTCGTGCCATAGTTTCAGGCTCGAGTTGAACCACTCTCGCAATAATTTCACGCTCGAATCGAACCACTCCTACAATTTCACAGTTAAACAATTTCATGTTCGAATTGATGAGTAAAACTGCTTACTCTTGACAATCAAGCTCAATGAAGTTGTATCATTTCAACTCGTCCCTTGCTAAATGGGCTTAGCTGGATCAGTTTATAGCTATGCAGATTCAGACGAGTGAGCAAAAACATTAAGTTTAACATTAGAATTAAAAACACAGCTAAAACCTTCAATCAATCAATCATAATATCACGAATCCATCTTGCAATCGTAGATAGCAAAAACGGGAATCACCTAAACAGAACAGAACAGAACAGAACAGAACAAAGCTTTCCTTGCACGAACAGGTATTATATTGCCTTTCATCTAATCATCATAGGAAGATACAATACAAACACAACGTGCAATTTTAGTAAATACAAATGACAACAACAACAAAAACAAACTGAAAATGTTCCCCATTAGATCTCTCTCTCTATCAACCCCTCTTTTCTTGGGGGCTTTTTAGGCCTACAAACAGCCAACGTCCAATTCCATATTCGAAACAACAACTATCGCCCAATACCCCTTTTTTTTCCCCTCTCTCTCTCTCTCGTGTGTGCACAGAACTAAAACATAAACACCTTATTACAAGCATAGGTAGATATGAATTATACCCAAAAAAACCATCCCATCCCCCTCGGGTATCAATAGTGAAGGAATATATGAAATTGGTCTAAGGCCAACCCTGTACATTCTAATACCCATATCATTATCATCTGGACAACTCCCCGTTTTTTCAAGGGCATATTCTATCTAAAGCTCTCCCACTACCGAACCCGATGAACCTTGAAAACTAAGCCCCAATGTAACAGTGGTGTTGCTTATGAGTGTCGTAACCAAATCAGAAAAATGTTTCAAAAGTAAAGAACATAAAAAGAGAATAGTTGTACGAGTAGAATCATTTTTTGCTCTCCCCCTTTTACCCACTGTACTAAAGATGAAAATTTGCAAGGGAGCTATAGAGAGACCTCAAAATGAAGGGGTTTGTTTGTTTGTCCTTCCATATGTGATGATGAGATTATTCTGAAGGCTCCTTCATTGGTAACTATGGATAATGGGCCATGTACTTGCTCCTTGGTCTGATCACAAGGAATCAAAATTGTTGCGAGCACTGTTGTTGAATCCACCAACAGACATTGAGCGTTGGGCAAAATCTATCAACACCTTTCTCTGGTGCTCGTCGGTGTGGGGAAGACTTGCTCGTAATACTTCAACTGGCATTTCTTGACTAATGGCAGCGGCTGCATCTGAGACAGCAGATGCTGCATTCTGTGGAGATTGTCGGAGTAATGATTGCATGATACTATCATACTTGTTCACACAATACTTCGTGAGAATGCCAAAAAATTCATCGAAAGAAGCCTGCCAAAGAGCTCGATGAGTAATGTTGTAATTACTTGCAGCATGACGATCGGTTAAGAGCTCCGTAGCCCTCTCAAGAACAGATTTCAAAATCAAGGACGCCCCATCTCCAGCAGGGGTCCCTAGAGGGCGAAGTGGAGGTTGCTCTGAGGAACAAACTACAGCAGCAAGACATGCACTCAGAGCTCCAAGATCCATACTATGGGTTCGCAAGGAAACAATTTTTGCGAGATCATTAACAGAATCTGCTGCTGCAGGATCAGGACTTCCAAACAAGAATCTCAAGTGACGAAAAATAGCCATACAAACTGTTCGCATAAGCTCACCTCCTGGCACAAGCAACTGAAGGTACTTACCTAGAAGTTTTCGACCCTTGGGAAGAGAAACTAACCTCAAGAAAACGAAATCATCCTTTGGAGCCAGCCCAACCGCATGACCGTCTTTACTGAGTGGATCAACTATATGAAATGATGCTGCCAGTCCTTCCAACAGGACCTGTCGACGTCTTCTTAACTGAGCACCACCATCTTGGAACTGATTGAACTGCAGGAAACGATCGATATCATCCACATCAAGGAGTAGACATTGACCATCCTCAATTGTAACCCTAGCTGCCAACATAGGCTCCTGTTCAAGGGGCTTCTCAGAAACTTTTTGATCATTGCTTCCACTAACAGTTGAACTCGGCGGATCAACTTCAAGAAGAGGGCGAGGTCTACGAATTGATGAAAATGGAACCCTACCAAGTGCTTCAACCTGAAGAAAAGCATGTGGCTCACTATTGGCACGAGCATGTGGTGGAAGATCCCTTAGTTGATTAGGACAGAAATGATGCCTCAACTTTGCACCCGCAGATTTTCTTGCAAGACAAGCCTGATGGTAGTAGTCATCTACATATGGATCATTACTATGTGTCGCTGCAAGCTGGATTCTAACGATATTCTCTAATTCATAAGCTTTCATATACTTGGATCTACGGAAAGGCCACCCAAAGTCACTCCTAAAATTATTAGTCTCATAACCCTGATGGGCATAATGTGTAGTCTGTCTACCTTTCTGAGACCTAGGCCTTTGATCCCTCATATCTGGTAGACCAAGCATGGCTTCCAACTTGTTCATTAAGTGAGGTGGGCCTGAAGACGAATGTGAATTGAGAAGATGGGTCTGTAAACCTGGTAGAGAGCCAACAAACGGAGGCTGAACAGGATGCTGCAACCTATGCTGCTGCTGCTGCTGCTGTGGTGGTAACTGTGGAAATCCATTCTGATTGGATAACTGGCGAGGCAATAAATTGTTTAGGTGACTGACATGTTCTCCAGGAAACATGCCGGTTTGGTTCATCCATTGGCTCGATGGTCCACCGTTAATAGAGGGGCCAGAACTGTGTTGTGGCATATTTCCTCCAAACCGTGATACAGAATTAAAACCGGCAATCTGAGAATTTGGAGGAGTGAGATTTGATGGAGATAACGATACTACATGGTGTCCACCAGGAACAAAAGGCATATTTAGATGGCTTGGATGCTGGTTTGGAGAAGCATGAGGAGATATTCCGCTTGAAGGATATGAAGACTTTGGCACCAAAATTGGCTCACTAGAGAACTGTTGATGGTACTGTTGTGGCTGAGGCTGTGGCTGATCAGGGTATGATGATGTCCTATACAGAGACGTAGATTCAGCAAGGGAAGATGGATGGGGATGTGATGACCATCTTTTGCCTTCCTGAGCCGTTTCAACATTGAAGCCTTGCTGGGCAATCCAATTAGGGAAACCATCCTCGCATGCCCATTCATTATCTGATGAGTAGATGAGAAAAACAAAAAGAAAAGAAACGAAATCGGTCAACCACAGTGACAACCATGACAATGATAACAATCATGAATAAATATGAAATATCCAGTTGGCATTAATCAAATACCATGAATAGCAATAAGAGAAAAACTATGGAAAATGGCTAACCTCTTGCATACATTTATGACATAATAAAACAGCATTTGATCTACAAATGCTCAAAATTAGCATTAAGATCGCAATGCTGATAGTAAAAAGATCGTAAATTGTGATGAAGAAGAACAAGGAGTGTAAACTTGAATTAAAAATTATATTAAAAAGTAAAGATTTTAAATCCATCTTTAATTTTCCACTTAAATTATATATATATATATCTTGCCACAGTGAAATTTTCTGGCTCTGCTCCTAGTCATGTTTGTCTGCAGCATAAAGCCATGTTACTAGACTATCTCGACAAAAAAAACTATTACTTTTAAGTATGAGCACCCAGGTACTATTTTAACATCACAGCCAGTAGATAGACAAAACTCACTTTCTCTCAATAATCCGCCTCCAATAACTCCCCTTGGCCCGCTTCCAATGTCATTTAACTGAAATAACACAAAATAGTAATCAAATATAGATGACAATAGAGAAACAAAGTCATGCAAAGGAGTTTTAAAAATGCCCTATTGAAGGAAAAGAAAAGGCAACTAGCAACTTCAGCTAAAACAATTCCTCTTTAGTTGTTCAACATGGACATATCATAAGCAAAATTGGTCTTCTTAGTTTTCTCCTGAACGAATTTCTTCAGAATTTCTACAAGATGTATTTGTAGGAAAATGCAAGCCATCAATTATATTCCTCCAACATAAAAAACAACCCTGGTAGTAAATGACTGGAAAAAAGCCTGATTTGAAATTCCAAACTGAAACTCTTAATTTTTTTTCATCTTAGATGGCAACTGAGAGTCCAGACTCCATGATTTGATAATTTGAGACAGAAATAATAAATTATCAATGATAAGCCTTTTTTATTTAGTACAACAAGGTGGGGTGTTTAACTTTTGCTCTCAAGGAAGGTAATAGGTATCTTCGTCGATGAGCTATGTTTGGATTGGAAATAAGAATTATAATTAATAAAATTATTGCTTGTTAATAGTTACATAGATGATTAAATGAATACAGAAGAATGACGGTATTTACACCTCTAAATTAATAAAACTATTGGTCTAGCTCAACGAGAACACAAACCATAAAAATCAAATGATTTTATTGATAGAAAATTACTTACGGAGAAGCAAATATACATAGAAAGCACGACAATCTCATTTTTTTAGATATGGAGGAAAATACAGATCCAAATTTGAAAACAAACATAGAAACATAATCAAATTAGGGAGTTACTTCTAAGTTCTAAACAAGATAAAGTAGAGATTTTTATATTTCTAACCTTTTCAAATGAAGAAACAAGATCATCAATATCAGAAGGAGGTCTAAAATCCTCACTCTGCAAACGATAGAAAGGGAGTTAGTTAAAGCAATACAGCACTTATAAGTTCAAAATGATAACCCAACAGTTGTGCTAGCCCTTAATATAAAATGGCACATTTTGTACAGAGCGAGAAAAAAGTACAGTGGCCCAAATGCGACTTGTGCAATAACCTCAACAACATACACTTACTGACGTTTTTAAAATGAAAACAAGTGCATCTGGCTAAAAAATAGGTACAGAAGTGTATAGAACAAAGAAAATAACAGGCACCTCTTTATCAAACAAAAACTCCTCCTCGTCAATCCCAGCAGCAAGAGTATCATCCTCTTCATCTTCTAATCCTCCCAATTCAACTTCCTCCATATCCTTGCCAAAAAATGCATACTGTGATGCATCAAATAGAGCATCTTCTGCAACATTGAAAATTAAATCACGATGCTTACATCTTCATTATAAAATATATGATCAGAACATGTTTCAGATCTAATAATAAACAAATGAAGTAATCTCAAGATCCCAAACAAATAAACTAACATAAAACGACTGAAAAAAGCGATTTATCAAGAGTTATCAGATAAACCACCACCATAGTTCTCTTCCCATTCTTCTGGTGAAGTTTCAAAAATTAAAAAAGAAAAATAAAATAACAATTACTAACTGCAGCTACTGCAAGAGCACATACGACTCAGGCAGAAACACAAACTATTTGCTCCAATGATTACCTAAACGAAATTTACATTAAAAAAAAAAAAAACAACAATAACCGCTCCTTGTAAGAAAGAAAGCTTTCGTAAAAAATGACATGAAATTCCTGGACAGAAAATTGGAAGCCATCGCCCATCATAGACCCCTGTCATCATCCGTAGCCAAATAGTAAACGACTTAATTCTTAACTATTAACATATTCCATCCTAATAAGAGGCGGAGAACCAAATCCTCACATGATTCTAGAACACAGCTATTAGATAATCGTTCTGCACAGAAACTACCACCAGTCGAACTCAAATTTCTCAATCACGACTTCGTCGAAACAGCTAAAAATCTAAAAATAAGTTCAAATAAAATGGATCTGTAGCAACAAGGTCTCAAGAAAAAGGTCCAACAGAGCAACACAAAACCCTTACCCGTCGAATTGGCTCCAAAACGCGTGAGATCCTTGGATGTAGACGCAACTTGAACTCTAGCTCCGTTGCCGAAACCATCCATTATCGATGACTCAATTAGTCTCGACATGGAAGAGCAAGAACATAGAAATCAAATCTTAATCTTAATAAAAACAAAAACAACTACGGCGAAACAGGATCCGAATCTAACCCAAATATGATCAATAAACAAAGAAATTACACCACCCAAACAAAAAACCCCTGGAGGTCAAAATCCTAGGGTTTGTGCGGATATGGAAGCTGGAAATAGCCTGGAAAAATATGTACAGTTGGTGGTAGAGTAAATCTAGAGTGTCGTCTCCATGATTGAGCTCCTACAAGTGAAGGGTTTTTAAGAGTTGAAATTGAAATTGAAAATGAAATTGGATCGGAGAGAGAAACAAATGAATTGGGGAACCCTAAAAAGAGATAACGATTAGCGGGCGATTTTAATAGGACAACTGAAAAAGATGGGTCCTCTTCCTTCTATCTCTTCTTTTCTCTTTTTCTTTTCCTTTTAAATTTGTTTATTCTTTTCTTAATTTTCTCAAATTTTAACATAACTGAAATTCTTCCTCCTGTAAATTCTTTTTTTTAACCCATTTGTTATTCTATTTATATTTAATTAACGGTAATTTCTAATAGTTTTTTTTTTTTAAATTTATGGTATAGTTACTATTTTATTATAAAATAAAATTAATATTTTTAATTTTTTTTAGTTTCAACTGTTTTTACTTTTTTTTTTTTAATCCATGTAAAAAATAGTTAACAAAATAATGAAGTTTAGAGGTGGAATTAGTAGACTTTAACCTACATAAACCAAAATTATAGATCGGTTTAGATTAATTTACATATTTTTGGTGAATCCCGAGAATATAGTTACAATCCATCTATTTTGTGCACTATTTTAAAGATACTATTTATTTCAAAATAATAATCGGAGCATTACAGTGTTGAAATAATTTGAATAATTACCGTTATCGAAATACTACTATCCGTGTAAAAATCTTTCAACATAAAAATAAAAAATAAAATAATAATAATAATAATAACAATGTGATATAATTCTCTAATTTCTTTATTACAACAGAGTAAAATTAAATAGTTACTGAACAAGGTTTAAATTTTAAATTTTTACTCAAATAATTATTTAAATTTATTTTTAAAAATTTATAAATATTTAGACGAGTTATGATTTTTTTTTATATTTAATGGAAATTATAGAAAATAAAATATTTACTGGAATTACAGATCCTTAGGACTGAATTATGTCTGATAATAATTTTATTTTTTATTTTTTTTTTTAAAATTAGATAGACGAAATAGAGAAAACGTGTAAAAACATGATAATAAAAATAAAAATTTAAATGCAGATAAATATTTTAGTAGAGGATTTTATTTTAAGAAATATAAAAAAAAAAAGTCAACCGGAAAACAAAAAATTATTATTATTTTTAGAGAGGGATAATATATATATATATATATATATATATATTTTTTTTTTTTTTAATTTAGTCAATTTTTTTAGAATAGAAGTTTAAATTTAACTCATAATCCGAATTATGGATACTTACAAAATGGTATCAAATCGTACCTTTTTTATTAAGATGTGGTTTGGAGACAAACCAAGACAGAAGTTAGTGGGTATTTGATACGTGAGTAAAGAAAGACGTTGAATGATAAAAGCCTCACATGCTCTAATTTAAGGAATGATCATGAGTTTATAATCAAAGAATAATCTCTCCATTTGAGACGTTTTGGGAAGGTCAAAGCAAAATCATGAGACTTTATGCTCAATCTGGATAAAATCATACAATTGTGAGAGTTATTAAATATAAAATATTTGAGGCATTTTTTTCGTTCAATAAGATGCTTACAAAAAAAATAAAATAAAAATAAAATATTTAGATTTTATAATTTTTAAATAAACTGAAATATTTATTAATAATAATAATAATTAAAAAAAAAAAAAAAAAAAAAAACTTGGTTGTCCACGGTACATACTTCCCTCAGTTCACACCTTTCCGGCGATAATTATTTGAGCCACCGCGAACGGATTGTCTGTTTTGGCTTGGTTTGGAGCTCAGGTGGCCACAGCCATGGCGCGCTCACATTATTCCGTCTCTGCTTTTCCTTCGAAATCCCTGCTTCAGTTATCTCGCACTCTAGGAGCTTCTCATTTAAGCCATGTTACAGTGGTTGGCCGTCGTTTCTCTGATACATCCAAGATCAGTACGAGCCTCAGAGCCGGCATCGTTGGCCTCATCAATGTTGGAAAATCAACTCTCTTCAATGCCGTCGTAAGCTAATATCTGTTGCTCTCTCTCTTTATTTCTACTAAATTTACTGTAATTTGGATTTCGAGCTGTGGAACTGATGGTTACTTTCGAAAAACTCCGTAGCTACTGAAGAATTCATTGTTGAATTGTCGTTTTAGCTAGTGGATTGTGGAATTGTGCACCAGGATTTGTGAACTATTGGATTATAATGTAGGTAGTTAATAAACGCTACGGACTCACAGCTCTCTTCGGATTTTTCTTAGTCTGATTATCGTATTTTTCATGTTAGGTTTTCTACCTATCTTGCATCTTAAGGCTACGCCTCGAGATTTTGACACGATAGCTCCACATATTCACTCCGAGCGGTGAATGTGTTTCAATAATTCGTTTAAACTGATTTTTTCGGATCAGCATCGCTTTTACTAATTTTGATACAAGCTACATCATAGTATATTTAATATGATGATAATCATGCTGTTTCTGGCTAACAATGCAGTGTCATGTGTCCGATTGTGAAAGCTCACTTGACTTCTAACTTCTTTCCACAGATTTAATTTTTGAATTGGACGGCTTCCTCTTTTAGTTCATACTTCCACTAGGAAATCTACATCAATTTCATATGACGCGTATTGTCTATGTTGGAAACCTTTGCAGGTCGAAAATGGCAAGGCTCAAGCAGCTAAAGTTCCTTTCTGTACAATAGAGCCCAACGTAGGAGTAGTTGCAGTTCCAGATCCTCGCCTGCATCAACTTTCTGATCTCAGCAAGTCTATACGAGCGGTCCCAGCTTCCATAGAGTTTGTAGATACTTCTGGGTTAGTGAATGGTGGCAGTCAAGGAGAAGTATGGTTCATTAACACCTCAGCGTTCTTTGACTAAGATTCCAAATGATTTTTGAATAAATTGTAGAGAAAAGACAAGAAAATAAACACAATTTTCAAAAACAAAAAATTAAAAATTAAATGGTTATCAAACAGTGGAATACACATTTTGAAAATTCATTTGTATGTATGTTTTCGTTGATGTTATTTATAGAATCCTGTAATAGACTTCCCCTTTATTTTGACCACTGCAGGGATTGGGAAATAACTTTTTATCCCATGTTCATGAGGTGGAGGTCCATACTTCAGGTGATTTTCTATTTTATCATATTTCTTTTGTCATAATACTTAGAAGCCTACTTACATAATTGTATTTCTAAAGAGTAATACCGGTTTAACAGATGAATTGGCTAGCATATTTCTCTGCAATATCAACTGCCCAGTGATTCTGATACAAGAGAAAGAACGGACTTTAATTTGTTTGAATTCTTTGTTTTTTTGTCTTACAGAATTGTATAAATTTTTGTTCCTACTTATCTACCTAACTTTTCTGTTATATATTTTTGTCCTATAATACGCATGCATGTCAAATAGCCAAAACAATGTCGTGGAAGCTCGAAGAATAACGTGGGCACTTCTTGCCTTTTTCATTACTTAATTTTGTGCTGTTAAAGGTTTTAATATTATTGTTCCAGGCTGTGCGCTGTTTTGAGGATAACGACATTGTTCACGTGAATGGGAAAATTGATCCAAAAACTGGTATTGATTTGATTAACTTAGAGCTTTATTTTTCAGATCTGGACCAGGTAACATCACTGAAACCTTTTCTATATTCATACGCATGTTTTGCACCTTTTAGTATGCAGGGTTACAATCCTTTGTTATTATCTTGCTACTTTTTATTTAATTGTACATTTTCCTTTTTTACTAAGTTAACTCTTAGGTAGCAATAAATCTAAATAAATTCCTTGATGATAAATAACGATAAATCTAAATAAATTCTTATCTAAAGCGAGCACGGGCTTTGCTTGCCTCTCTCGTATTCACCCTCTTGGAGTACTTCCATGGGCGGTACTTGCCTCTCTCGTACTCACTCCACTTGAAGCACTTTTATTGGTGTTGTTTGCCTCTCTAGTGCTCACTTCTCAAGGAAAACTGATTAATGTTTGGGAAGAACTCCATCGCTTGCAATGGTGACTTCTTGAAGAAATTTTTCAAACTTCTAATCGTTCCTCACAGCTAGAAGAACATGCATAGGGTTTATCCTATTTTTCTAGCCAATTCCAAAATCCTAGTGCCAAGGTATTTGAGGATGACAGCTAGCTAGATCGAAGCATATACGACAATCCGCTTTTCATAGTGACCTTTCTTAAGGTACTGTATGATTCTTCCATTCGGGCATTAGAGTCTAGCCTTACAAATTTGGAGATTTTAGTTTAGTCGCCTCCTTTATTGAATACTTCAAATATGAATCTCAAAATTTGATGTTTTGTGATGATGATGGGAGGAATGACTTGAGATTTTTTTTGACATGACGATGGAATAAACAAGAGGATAGGTATCTTGGTCATGATCGGTTGCTAGGAAGGCTCCAACTTAATTTAGTCAAAGTAGGAAGGCTATGCTAATTAATTACACCTCTGAAAATAGATTAATTAAGGAAATGAATCCTATTTCCTAGTTTAAGTATGGTATGTTAGATTCTGGGCCTTTCTTGCTTGTTTGGTCTTTCTTAAAAATTTTGGATTCTCAAGAATTGATGGAGAGAGTGAGGCTACAATAATGATTCTTTAAGTAGAGAAGATGTCAATGGTTTCAAACTCACTGGGCTCTTGCTTCTATTACGCAATGGGCCAAATTATTGCTGTTGTTGAATGGGTTTTATCTGATGTTGCAAATGTTATGACGTTGCAATGGAAGTCGCAAGTGGGCCTGGCGCAAGAGTCCACCCAATGGACTTTTGATGCTGCAGAGGAACTTATACTCTGACGCAAATAGAAATCGACTTATCTATCATATTGCTCTCAAAGTATGATTAAATTTGTTGGTAAAAGTCTGATTTAAAATTAAAAACGTTTCAGTTAAAAAAGGATGTAGCCCACTGGATCTGGCTGTGTTGACTTTGTTTTTCCAACAATTCTCATATCACAGAGGAATAGGATTAAAGCTCCTGAAATGCAATGTTACAAACAGAATGATTGATAATTCTTTCTCCTGCCTATGAATGTCCAAATTTTTAAAGATGGATAAAGTTACGTGAAGTAAAGATTTATGGATGAAATATATGTTTCTCTTGATGTTTATGAGAATCTGACACCAAAGAGAAAAAAGCGTCATTAGCTATTCTCTTCTTTTGTTCTTTGTTTCAACGAAGTTCTTGATGTTTCTTACAGAAAATAAATAATAAACCTTGTCCATAGATTATACTTAGGTGTCTCTGTATATCATGACATTAAAAAATAAATAATACACTTTTTTGTCTCTGTTCTTATACTTAGGTGGTTTGGAGAACATATTCTCTTGGTTAAAAGAATGTCATTCAGAGATTAGGGGATCAACCTGCCTAGTTCTTTTGTCTTTTAGAACTAAACTTGGCCTACCAAGGCCAGTGCAACAAGAAAAGTGCCTAATAGAAGAATTTCTATTCGTCAATAAGACCTTAAAAAGTTTAGCGAAGAAACGGACTGGTGTAGTGCTGTATGATTGACATCCAGAATTACTCAAATCCTTAATTTGAAATTTGAAGATAACTTCATTCATCCTGACAGACATTTTACTGTGAACTGTTTACTGGACTGATGACATATTATATCTGTCTTGAAGTTTCTTTGGACTCTTGTTAACTTGATCATTCCAGCTAGAGTAATGCTAAATTACCTACCAGATTGTAAAGCGGATTCAAGATCTAAATCAAGAGGTGAATATTTAGCTGGACAGAAACAGGTATGTGCATATTCTCATAGCATTATCTTTCGAAAGAATAATTTTGAATTTTTTTCTTCTATATCTTGTTTTATTGTTGATGTCAATTTCCAAAAGTTTTATTATTACTTTTAACTGTTTTAAAACTTTCTCATTTAACTCCCTTAAACTTTTTTAAAAGTTTTTACTCCCTACGTTAAAAATCTCATGAATGTTAAAAAATAGCATTAATACCCTTAATTTTTCTAAAATAAGATTTTATCGTGAGTATATAAATAAAAATCATTTATCTCTATGATTTATAGGTAAAGATAAATGGTTTTCATCCATACACCGAGAACAACATTTGTAAACATTTTTTAAAAGGTTAAAGATATTAATGCTATTTTTTTTAAGTTCATGGATATATTTTAAAAATATAATTAGTATTTTTGAATTTTTTAAAAATATTTAAGTGTATTATTAAAACTTCTGAATTTGTATTTTTAAAATTTTTAAAGGTATTATTCCAAGTTATGTTGGCTAATCGAGGAATGTTGCATGTGGAAAGAGAATTTGTTTAATTATTTTAGAGTTAATTATTGCTTTTTATGGCATTATTTAGGCACGAGTAGTTTAGTACTTCGATGGGATGTTTGCTAGGAACAGAAGGATGATAAAGTGTTATGATATATTAAAGAGTCTGTGTATATAATATTATTATCTACGCATCAAATGCATAGAAATAATAAAGAGCCTGCTCATTAAAATCTGCATTTTGCCCATGCTTGCTTGGGCAGTAGAGACATGATCATAAACTCATAGATTTTATGTTCCCTTCCTTGTAATTAGAGATTCAGTTTTAATTATTTTTAGGATAATGAGCTTAAGAAAAATCAAATTATATATAATCTTACACATAAAATTAAAAAATTTTGGACTAAATTTCATCAATCATAGAAAAGTTTGATAAATTTTAAAAAATATAATGTAACTCTAACTCTGAATTGTTTAGTTTTAGTTGGATTACAACATTGTTTAGTTTTTAGTTGGATTACAACATTGTTTAGTTTTAGTTGGCTTGAATAGTGTGAATTTGTTTGGACTAATCCAAACCTAAATAAAGTAGCTTAAGACTAATTTTAAGAGCTAGCATGCATGAATCAATCACATAATATGTCTTGCAAGGAAAGAGTTGCAAGAGTATGTGTTAAGGATATTTAGTAATAAATTATTGTTTACCATATATATTATATTTGATATTTTATTATAAGGCAAATATTAGATATTTGCCTTATTATCATAGGTATCTTTCTATTTATTGTTATTTCCATTTATTACTATTTTCATATCCTGTAATTTATTTGATTATAAATAAGATAACTTTCACACCATTTAGGTGTGGTGGATTAATCAAACATTCACATGGTATCAGAGCCCTTTCGGTTTAACAACCCTGATCCTTTCTTTTCAATGGCTTTTGAATTCTCTAATCTTCTTCTCCACCACCCCTGCTGGTTTTGACACCGCAGGGGCAGTCTTCATGGCTGCCGTAGTCGGAGCCGATTGATTACTCTTCGGCTCCGCCCTATTGACCTCCAAATCACCTTTCGTCATACTCTGTACATATAACCTCACCTTTTCCAACCAAATCTATTTTCCCCTTGGCCAATATAGTCTCTCTCATTTTCTTCCCAATCAACCTTCATCCTTCACATAAACCTTAACCTAAACCTATCAATCTTTTGCAGAGATTTACCTTCGGAATCTGGGTGCCGCACTGGACTATTCGCCAACCAAGTTGCCGCCGCCCTTCCTGCCAAAATTGGCTTCTTCGCCCGATGAGGCGACTCTTCCGACTGCCCTTCTCGCCAAAATTGGCTCCTTCGCCCAATGTGGCGACTCTTCCGGCTTCAACATTGTCTTTGTCCCTTGCTCTAGGTTTCCCCTTCTACTTCTTGGGGTTAGAAATATTCTCACCAGAGCCAAGGCAGCATCGTCGCTAAGCGACAATCCCTCTTCATGGGTTAGACATATTCTCGCCGAAGCCAAGGCAGCATCGCCACTGAGCGGCGATCCCTCTGCAAATTTTTTATGGCCAAGAACCGGGTTGTTAGCATCTTCATGAAAAGTGTCTCTCAACCTCTTTGAATTTTTCAGATTCAAGCTTCACGTTCGTTTAAATCCGACGCTTAGCTTGCGGTGGGGTGTTAAGGATATTTAGTAATAAATTATTGTTTACCATATATATTATATTTGATATTTTATTATAAGGCAAATATCTAATATTTGCCTTATTATCATAGGTATCTTTCCATTTATTGTTATTTCCATTTATTACTATTTCCATATCCTTGTAATTCATTTGATTATAAATAAGATAACTTTCACACCATTTAGGTGTGGTGGATTAATCAAACATTCACATGGTATCAGAGCCCTCTCGGTTTAACAACCCCGATCCTTTCTTTTCAATGGCTTTTGAATCCTCTAATCTTCTTCTCCACCACCCCTGCTGGTTTTGACGCCGCAGGGGCAGTCTTCATGGCTGCCGTAGTCGGAGCCGATTGATTACTCTTCGGCTCCACCCTATTGACCTCCAAATCACCTTTCGTCATACTCTGTACATACAACCTCACCTTTTCCAACCCAATCGGTTTTCCCCTTGGCCAATATAGTCTCTCTCATTTTCTTCCCAATCAACCTTCATCCTTCACATAAACCTTAACCTAAACCTATCAATCTTTTGCAGAGATTTACCTTCGGAATCTGGGTGCCGCACTGGACTATTCGCCAACCAAGTTGCCGCCGCCCTTCCTGCCAAAATTGGCTTCTTCGCCCGATGAGGCGACTCTTCCGACTGCCCTTCTCGCCAAAATTGGCTCCTTCGCCCAATGTGGCGACTCTTCCGGCTTCAACATTGTCTTTGTCCCTTGCTCTAGGTTTCCCCTTCTACTTCTTGGGGTTAGAAATATTCTCACCAGAGCCAAGGCAGCATCGTCGCTAAGCGACAATCCCTCTTCATGGGTTAGACATATTCTCGCCGAAGCCAAGGCAGCATCGCCACTGAGCGGCGATCCCTCTGCAAATTTTTTATGGCCAAGAACCGGGTTGTTAGCATCTTCATGAAAAGTGTCTCTCAACCTCTTTGAATTTTTCAGATTCAAGCTTCACGTTCGTTTAAATCCGACGCTTAGCTTGCGGTGGGGTGTTAAGGATATTTAGTAATAAATTATTGTTTACCATATATATTATATTTGATATTTTATTATAAGGCAAATATTAGATATTTGCCTTATTATCATAGGTATCTTTCTATTTATTGTTATTTCCATTTATTACTATTTTCATATCCTGTAATTTATTTGATTATAAATAAGATAACTTTCACACCATTTAGGTGTGGTGGATTAATCAAACATTCACAGTATGAATGTTTTTTTTGTTTGATTCTATTGAATCAAACATTATTGGCAATTTGATTCATCATCCAAATCTAGACTATGTTAGTTGAATAACTTTGTGTTATGAAAAAAAAAAATTAAAGAAGAAGAAAAGAAAAAGCTCTTCCTCTAACTCAATTTTTAATACTCGATGGTTGGAATCTAGTGGAATGGATCAAATATAGAGTGTTAGTAACTTTATTCCTATGTCGTAACTTTAAATCTCTGTGGTTTTAATCTATGGTTCATTGAAGAGTATTTGTTTTTTTCGATAGGTCTTAGCTTCAAATTTCTATCAAAAGCGAACCCTTGAAGAGTGGTTGGAAAGAAAAAGAATTGTAGTGTGGTTGATTCAAGGCTAAGTTTTTGATACTCTAAAATTAGGATTAGAGCCTCTAGTTGGTACTTGGACAACTTCATCCTAAAATACAACTTGCTAATCCTATAAGTTTACGCTATCCATGCGTCTAAAAATCCATCTTCAAACCATCTCATTCAAATTCACTCAATCAAACGAATTTAGTGAATTTCAACTTGGTGGATGAAAACATCTAGACTATATTTGAATTCTATCTTAAAATGTAGAACTTCAAGACACAACGTTAACATATTCAGATATGTTTCAACCGAAGTAAAATTATGGAATACAACTCTATTTTTTCAGCCTCTACACGTTACAAATATATAGATCAAACCCTAAGTAAAACTCTCGAAAGAGCTGAAAAAGGGTTTTAAAATTTGTGAACCAAATGGAGATGTTTGAATGAAAAGTTGTGGAGTAGGGAGTGGGGAGTGAGCAGTTCATGTACTGAATTCTGTTTGTGCGAGCAAATTGAATGCTTGTGGTTAAGTTAAGCTGGGCCATGTGCCCATTTCTTCATTCTATCTTTATCATGTAATATGTACATTGCATCACATTTCTTCTAAATATCTGCACGTGCATTCCCTTTGTCTTTCCACCCGACACGACAGCCTTCTCAGTCAAATGGCCATTTCTGTGGGGCACTGTCCCTCATGCCATTGTCCATTCCAATCTTTTCTTCTTGCTTTACTGCCCTCTTAGTCTTTTCATTCGAACACTTTTTCTCGTTATTTTCTTCAATTCGGTGCAATTTATAATATTCTCTCTTTTCAAAATCTAAAATCTACAGGTGGCCTTGATCTTGATTGTAAGGGTTTGAGATGTTTCGGGAAATTCTTTTTGAAATTTTTTATTGAAATTATTGAGCGAAAAAACGTAATAATTTATAACTTTTGTGCTCTTTCACAGGTTTGGCATTTAGATTGGTCGAGTCTTTCTAGAGACTAGTGAAGATGGAGGTCATGGGTATCAGGTGAGGCACGAACTCCTTCAACTACGCTAGTTATAAAATATAGATGTCTCTCAAAATCAATATTTCATAAGTTTTAAACGACAAAAATAGGTTTGAACTCTATTGACGAAGTTCCTCCTAACACAACCCGATAACAAGAAGGAAATAATCCAGTATAAATATTAGAATTTTCATAGTTATTTGAGTATAGTTTGATAAGTCAAAGTTGCCAAAGTTCGGTTTTCACTTTTATGAAATGTTGTTTGCTTTTATGCAAATCTTATGAGTAAAATGCTCGTACCTAACTACGAAGCTTGAATCTCAAAGAGAAAAAAAAAATCTCAATAATAAAAATTTAAAGTAGTCAACTGAATTTATGAACGAGCCAATGTTTATTATTTGTAACCTCTATATTGTCATCAAATTGGCCTATTTTGCTACCACAATATCATCTAATATTATTAGTACCAATCATGTTTCGGTCACGAATCTTACACTCATTCACATTGGTTCATCCTGCTATATCTTATACTTTTCGTTCCTCGAGTGTAAAAGTTTAGTAATAACATATAGAGTTACCGACTTTGATTGAGATATAATTGATTTTCTGCTCACATGAGGGATGATAACACCATTATACCTTTTAGCTTAT